GATCAACGGGCACCAGACGCTGGGCTCATGGCTGGCGAGCACAGCTGCGGTGGTGTGAGCCTCTCCTGCAGACACTCCCCCTGCGCACCCCTCCCCCATCCAGACCGGGACTGTAATTGAGACTGGAATCAGGACTGATTGGGCACAAGCCCGCAGCCACTTCTCAGTCATGGGCGCGCCGGTATCGCCCTAGGATGGGCACACAGAGACCACAGCAAAGCGGCAGCTAGCCTACCAAGTGGCAGCAGCAGCAGGTACAGCGGAGCCAGGATGAGCGGGAGCTGCATGGAGCCCAGCCCAGGCTCGGGCTCCTCCCCGGCTACCTGCCTCTTGGAGGACTACTACATCCCTCGGGGGATGTTGGACTGCCGGTTTTGGCCTATCTCTGCAGGCCAGGCCAAGGGACCCCCCCACCAGTGCACGAATCCGTGCCCCGGGCCTCTAGTATCACATAAGTTAGCTTTGGCCACACACCAAGGGTTGCCTCTGCATAGGCTCTATAGAAAGAAATCTTGCTTATGCATCAAATTTTGCTTTAGCTACTACTCACAATTTGCTTTTTAAAATTCAGTGTTTATTAATAATCTGCTCTATGGCAGTCACTGGGAACCCAATGATGAGCAACTCAGAGTCCCTGGAGCTCACAGTCCAGACCTCACAGAAAAGTAAAGGTATAGACCAACATTCTAGAAGCCAGGAATCAGGGGCACTTGGCAGTCTTTCTGGGGAGGAGGGAGTAGAGGGATAGGGAAACGTAACAGAGGGAGCCACACCTCACTGAGTCTTGCCAGAGAGATAGAATGTTCCAAGTAGACCAGGATAGGAAGGCACTCCAGGCACTCAGGGAGTTGTAGAAGGGATGGTACAGCACAGGATGCACCAGCCCGAGGTAAAGGCAAGGGTGGTCATGGGGGAGCCAGGTCACCAAAGGCCCCGTGGAATTTGAACATTGTCCAGGAGGTAATTAGAAGCCACTTAAGGACTTTAAATGCAGGGAAGTTAACAACCATGTCTGTGGTTTAAGGATATCATTTGACAGTGCCAAGAATGGGAAATAGGCAAGGAAACCACTTTAGGGGGGCAGTCAGAGCCATCAATGATATCATCTTGAAATGCTAAAGTATCAGTTACCAGTACAGGATCCATTTGTAAAACAGACTAAAACCTTAAGTCTACCACTTTGCTCTTCAGTCTTTATGGGAGCAAAATAGACCATCTCAACATATTCATAATAGTGAAAGAACATTGGCCACAAGAAGACACACCAAAAAGATAACTGTGAGGAAGGGGGACAGGAATATAGTATAAAGGAAGTTGAGGTTAAACAGAAGACAGAAAGTCGTTTAAACAAGAGATGCCAGTTAGGCTCTTCAGTGATGATATTTTTCCTACCCCATCATGATTCACAATATGCGATAAGGCATAGGAGAGAATTCTGAATGATATACAAAACACATATAAAATACTTATATATCAATAGAGGGAAGTTCACAACAGAGGAGACATTTCCACTAGAATGGAAGCTCCCAGAAATCAGGGCCTACACCTCCCTCTTTGCTGCTGGGCCCTGGTGCCTTGTACATAATAATCTTTACTGTGGACAAGAACAGTGCTCAATACCTTATGTGCATTAATTCGTTTAATTCTCATACCACTCCTGTGAGGCAGATGGGATTCTCGTCTGCATTTCATGTAGGAAATCAGGCCCAGAGAAATTAGGAGCTTCCTTGAAGTTGGCCACACTGCTAATAAATTGCAGAGTGGGGAATATTCAAATGCAGGCAGTGTGTGTCAAGAGTCTGTTTTTAACTACTAGGTAAGCACATCATACACGTTGGCTGATTTGCACTGATTGGAGGAAGGATAATTAGAATTTCCAGACTTTTTAAATGATGGCGTATTTTAAATGCAACTTTAGTAGTTTGATAGTTTACTTAAAGTTTGTTTATGTCACCAAGACATTTGACAAATTACAAAGTATACCATACCTGTTTTAACTACAGGCAAAAAAAAAAAAAAAGATCATCGTTTATGTAGAAAGCATGCATCTAAAAAATTGAGACTTTTTTCTCCTGGAGCTAGAAAAGTAGTTGTAAAGTGTATTTGGAAGAATAAACATAGAGCAATATCTTGGTCAAGCCTAAAAATAAAATTAAAAGAAAAATAAAGCAGTGGATAGTGGAAGACTAAGCCATACCAGATAATAGAACACATTATAAACCTCAAAAATTAAAATGGTGCGATATTACCACATTAATAGACAGACTAATCGAACTGAAAAGAATCCAGAGACAGAGCAAAATGCATATAGAAACTTAGAATCTTATGATAGTGATCACACTAAAAACTTATTTTAAGACTATGTAGACATAAGAACTATCTTTTCTAAATCTAAAAAACTACTCCCTATAATCGTTCCAATCTTTACCTGATTCATCTTTATTCAGTAAATAGTTTAAAGATAAATTTTATTTTAACTTTTAAATAATTATGAATTCTACAAAAAATCAGTGCCTGAATTATCTGCCCTAAGAATAAAACCACTAACCCTAGCCAGCTTGGCTCAGAGCGTCGCCTGTGAACTGAAGGGTCCCAGGTTCGATTCCGGCCCGGGGTTGCAGGCTTGATCCCCAGTAGGGGGCGTGTAGGAGGCAGCTGATCAGTGGTTCTCTCTCATCATTGATGTTTCTATCTCTCTGTCTCCCTTCCTTTCTGAAATTAATAAAGAAATATATTTTTTAAAAAGAATAAACCAGCTAAAAGAATTATGACAAGATAAATGGAGGAATAAGGAAACAGTAGTAATGTAAAAGCAAAGACCTATAAGAAGTTGAGGGATATTTAAAGACTGTTTAGCAAGTATATCAATCCCCTAAAAAATGGTCGGAATTCCAATAGATGTCCAGGGTAAAAATGCCCCCTTTTCCAGATGTCTAAACATGAAGTTGAAGGGCTCTACTAGAGGTTTGTTTGTCAGGGGATACTCAGGAGGGAACAGTTTTAATGGGATGGGTTTCAGGACACGGAGGTAAAACAGAAAGCCTGCACAAGTAGACTATACAGAGATATGGTTCATCGGATAGAAAGGAAGGACTCAGGGGTGGGAGTAGGGAAGCCATCTCCTGAAATGGAAATGGATGAATATAGCCTACCTAAGGTTTAGGGAGCTTGTGGGAGAATACAAGAGGGAGGTAGGAAAGGTAGGTTAGAGCCACGTATTGGCTGGTCAGGTATGCCATGTCAAGAAATGTTAACTTGATACCATAGGCACTGGGAACCACTTAATCCATGTTTTTTAAATAGAAAGGAATATAATAAGATAGGAGAGCACAGAGGGGCTCAGTTTCCTCCTCTCTGGCTGATGTGTTATTGCCTGAAAGCTGGTAGCTGTGCTATAGCTGGTTTCCTTGCCTTGTTTCTGTTTCCTACACAGCAGACAGGACTTCTTACATGTCTCCTCGATTGTAGTGGCTTCCTGTTATCATCATGAGAACTCTGTTCCCTTACTTAGTATGGCATGTAGGATCCCTCGTGGGACTCCTGCCTTCCTCTTGAGCCTCACTGACCACTGCTCCCTCACTTGTTCCCATGCACTGGCATAGCTCTCCTAGCTTCCATGTGCTGTTGCCTCTGCCTAAAGTATTCTCCCTTCCCATTATTTTTTTAAAATATATTTTTATTAATTTCAGAGAGGAAGGGAGGAGGAGAGATAGTAACATCAATGATGAGAGAGAATCATTGATCGGCTGCCTCCTGCACCCCCTCCCCCCCAATGGGGATCAAGCCCGCAACACGGGCATGTGCCCTGGCCCGGAATTGAACTGTGATCTCCTGGCCACTGAGCCACTCTGGCCAGGCTCCCATTGCTTTTTATACCATTCAAGATTTCTAGTGCCAAGTGCAGTAACTGGCCCAGAGTAGGTAAATGGATTAAATTTCACTTGAGTTTCAGGCCACCCATGAGAACTGTTCCTGACCTCGGTCCTTGAGTTTACCACAGGTTCCCCTTCTCTTCCTCTAACTCCTATCCTTATCAGCTTTTCACACTGTCTTCGATCTTGTTGATTGCTTTATTATCTATCTCCAAGCTCCTATAGATTGGGAATACCTCAGGAAAAGGATCTTTTATATCTACCTCCCAGGTTCTAGCACAGTGCCTGACTGTATATTAGCTTCAATAAATGTTTAAGGGTAATTAGATGGGGGTGGGGTTTGAGGAATCAAAGCAATAATAATGTTGACAAGGGCATAACAGCAATAAAAAGAATATATTGGTTCTCAAGAAAAAAAGGCAATCTCAAGTTTTCGTTTGGCAAAGGAGAGAATGACATGCCTTCCCCCGGAACTACTCTGTCCCACCCTCTAGGCTATTTGGATCCCTCCTCATAGATGATTTACCCAATGGACACCAAGAGGCAAAGACCCTACAAGTCCCCGATTATGCGGTGTCCCTTGTAGGGGCTCTTCATTTCCAGGCATTGAGAAAAGAATAATCTTCATATGTCACCATTTACTCTGCAATCTTACATCTTGGTTTCTGTTGTAGAATAAAGACCCCAAGATGGCTCGAGTTGCACTGGAATCTCTGTACAGATTACTTTGGGTTTACATGATTCGAATTAAATGTGAAAGCAACACAGCTACTCAGAGGTAAGGAGCTGGCCTACCTACACTAACCCAATTGGAAGCTGACAGTTCCTGCAAGATCTAAGTCCTTAGTTATTGGCTCAGCAGCCGTGACAGAAACTGCAGTCTCAACCGGGACAGCCAAGTTCCATGTCCAGGAATGTATTTGTCACATTAAAAAAGAAATGGCTAGGTTCTAGCAGTGCCTGACTGTATATTAGCTTCAATAAATGTTTAAGGGTAATTAGATGGGGGTGGGGTTTGAGGAATCAAAGCAATAACAATGTTGACAAGGGCATAACAGCAATAGAAAGAATAGATTGGTTCTCCTCTTGGTGCTAGGAGAATGAACTCCCTGGTACTGGAGAAAAAAAGGCAATCTCAAGTTTTCGTTTGGCAAAGGAGAGAATGACATGCCTTCCCCCGGAACTACTCTGTCCCACCCTCTAGGCTATTTGGATCCCTCCTCATAGATGATTTACCCAATGGACACCAAGAGGCAAAGACCCTACAAGTCCCCGATTATGCGGTGTCCCTTGTAGGGGCTCTTCATTTCCAGGCATTGAGAAAAGAATAATCTTCATATGTCACCATTTACTCTGCAATCTTACATCTTGGTTTCTGTTGTAGAATAAAGACCCCAAGATGGCTCGAGTTGCACTGGAATCTCTGTACAGATTACTTTGGGTTTACATGATTCGAATTAAATGTGAAAGCAACACAGCTACTCAGAGGTAAGGAGCTGGCCTGGGTTAACGGTAATCACATCACTGAGTCCATGGTAGCCACATCCCTCAGCCAGTGAGAGGATGTTTTGTTTTATTACTACCTACACTAACCCAATTGGAAGCTGACAGTTCCTGTGTCCTTGAGTTTACCACAGGTTCCCCTTCTCTTCTTCTAACTCCTATCCCTATCAGCTTTTCACACTGTCTTCGATCTTGATTGCTTTATTATGTGTCTCCCAGCTCCTATAGATTGGGAATACCTCAGGAAAAGGATCTTTTATATCTACCTCCCAGGTTCTAGCACAGTGCCTGACTGTATATTAGCTTCAATAAATGTTTAAGGGTAATTAGATGGGGGTGGGGTTTGAGGAATCAAAGCAATAATAATGTTGACAAGGGCATAACAGCAATAAAAAGAATATATTGGTTCTCAAGAAAAAAAGGCAATCTCAAGTTTTCGTTTGGCAAAGGAGAGAATGACATGCCTTCCCCCGGAACTACTCTGTCCCACCCTCTAGGCTATTTGGATCCCTCCTCATAGATGATTTACCCAATGGACACCAAGAGGCGAAGACCCTACAAGTCCCCGATTATGCGGTGTCCCTTGTATGGGCTCTTCATTTCCAGGCATTGAGAAAAGAATAATCTTCATATGTCACCATTTACTCTGCAATCTTACATCTTGGTTTCTGTTGTAGAATAAAGACCCCAAGATGGCTCGAGTTGCACTGGAATCTCTGTACAGATTACTTTGGGTTTACATGATTCGAATTAAATGTGAAAGCAACACAGCTACTCAGAGGTAAGGAGCTGGCCTACCTACACTAACCCAATTGGAAGCTGACAGTTCCTGCAAGATCTAAGTCCTTAGTTATTGGCTCAGCAGCCGTGACAGAAACTGCAGTCTCAACCGGGACAGCCAAGTTCCATGTCCAGGAATGTATTTGTCACATTAAAAAAGAAATGGCTACAATTTTCCAACTGTCCTTAGTTTTTCCAGAAACATTTTTATAGAGCAATTATGCTAATGGAAAGGGATAAAGTGGTTTGTTTTCTTTTTCTGAATTTTGTCTAATACTAAGATAAGGTGAAACATCTGCTATTTTCCCTTGAAGAACTGGACCTCAGCCAATCTTACTTGTTTTCTCTTTCTTCCCTTATCTTTCAGCCGTCTTATAACCATCATCACAACACTTTTCCCCAAAGGGTCTCGTGGTGTGGTGCCAAGGGATATGCCTCTGAACATCTTTGTGAAAATTATTCAATTCATTGCCCAGGTAATGGACAAGCTTCTGGAGTGTGTCTTCTAGTTATCTTTACGTAGCCAGTCTCCTTCTTAGGATGTACTAACAGATGAGGTGTGTAAATTAGCTCACGTGTATTGACTTTTCAGAATGGGTTTATAAGTGTTTTCACACACAGCTGGTGACTTTTGCCTCAAAACAAATTGTGACATGGGAATGTAGAGTGCTTTCAGCATGTGACTCATGAAGGAACAGAGACAAAGTTTAAGTGATTCACCTAAGGTCCTAGAGCATGTTAGTAAAGGTGTCTCTTAACTCATAGTCTCTGGCTTTTTTCCCCCCCATGATTCTCTGCTCTGGATTATGCAAATCAGGAGGAAACAAACAAGTCTGATGTTTAGAGGAAACCAAAAGAAGCTAATTTAGTGAAACTTGATGAGTAAAGAATAATGCTGAAAGTTTCATTCTGTGAAAAAGAAGAATGTAATAGGAATATTAGCATTTATCAAGCACTCACTCTTTGCTAAGAACAGTTCTAAGTATTTTACATGTATTAAATTACTTAAAAACTGGCACCAATAATATTAAACATAGTTTTTAGTGTTTAATTTACTATTTAGACCTAAGATTTTTACTTTATAATTCACTTTGTGAGTAAATCACAAAGTTTTACTCCAACTTTGTGATTTACAAAGGAATATGAAAAGACAATTATTCCATCTCAGTCTGTGCCTCGAGCCAGCTCTATACCCCTGAACAAGTCAGAGAACATCTTTTTTCTCTGTTTCTTTATCTGTAAAATGTGAGTGAGAATGCTTGCCTGTTATACCTAGAATGTTGAGTGGATAAAGGGAAATAATAGGTATGAAAATACTGTTGAAACACAATTGACATTGATATGAAGACATAGGTTTAATTGTTACTATCTATAATAATAAAAGGGTAATATGCTAATTAGACCAGACGTACTTCCGGACAAAGCCGGGGCCAGAGGGAAGCCAGCCCAGTCCCAGGTGCCTGTGGGAGGCCAGAGGAAAGCCAGCCCGGGTCCTGGGTGCCAGAGGGAAGCTGGTGCCAGCAGCCAGGAGGAAGGAAGGCCTACACTTGCACGAATTTTGTACATCAGGCCTCTAGTTTAATGTATCTCTCTGTGTGATTGGCACAGTGAAATGCCTCTGTAATATTGGTACTTAGGGAAAGGATATTACTTGCTTGGCAGGCAGATGAATTAATGTAACCTTTCTGCATGTAGTTATCATGTGGCTGAGGATAGGCTTCAATTATTCTGGAATAGGTTTTATAAAATAAACCTGTCATATCTTCATAGCCACTGTCCCAAATTATTAGAATCTGGCTTCAACCTTCTCATTTAAGTAACCTTGACATATCTTATTTGTTGATTATTCATTTCACTTGTAGAATTATCTGTTGTAATATGAGTCAAAGAATTTGAAATGCTAGAGAGTAGAAGAAAATGCTTATTTTGCAGTGGCTTTTAAACAATACATTTTAAACTGAATTTCAAGAAGGTGTCAGCATTTGCAAAACAAGCAGGAAAAGTTGAGCCCAAGCCCAGAGACGTCAAGTGCTTTTATTTTTCTGTTGTTTTTGGGTTATTAGTCATTCTGTGCTTTGGGGAATAATTGTATATATTACATATAATTGCTCATAATTGCATTATAATGAGAGCATCCCTGTGCATTACGCAAAAACAGAAGCAGCTCCACCAAAATTCAGTGGGCATGTTCTTCCTCAGGGAGTGATCCGTGACACTGAGCAGGACTTCTACTCGTAGTAGCCACCTGTTTGGTACATATGAAGAAAGTAGATATTTCATGTTTAATTTGTATCTTAACACTTTTTCATTTGTTTTGTTTTCTCTTTTTCACTACAGGAACGTTTAGATTTTGCAATGAAAGAAATCATTTTTGATTTTCTTTGTGTGGGAAAGCCAGCAAAAGCTTTCAGTCTCAACCCGGAGGTATGAGTGATCACTTTCTGTTCCTCTAACAGTGTGGGCCTTGACAGAGCCACACCTTTGTAACTCTGGAGAATGGGTGAAGGACATCGTCTCCAAAAGTCTTCCATGTGTTCCTGTCCATGTTACTTGGCTAAATAGTACAAATGATGGCATTTGAGAAGTAAGATTTTAGATGAATAGACTTAGAACGATGAAAGGTTGGTATGCTACCAGATTCTGACCGTGTATAATAGAGCACACCACGCCCCCAAGATAATCTCTCACCACAAGGCCAGTTGTTTTATTTTTTTAAAGTCAGTGCATTTACTTGTAATTATCTTGGTGCAGGTTAACTAGTTGAACATTGAGAAGTGATAAAACAAAAAAAATATATAATATATAAAAATATATAATAAAGTACTAAAATCTAGTGAGATTAAATAAATGATGTATGAATATTTGTTTCTGTAACAGCATCACAACTCAGGGCTAGGCAGTCATGGAAATGAGGATACAGTGGGCATGATACAGGATGTGGAGCGATGGGCCTGTGCAAATGACAAGTGCATTCTGCTTTAAACTTTTAAAAACACATTGGCCAATGGAAATATGCCTCACAAGCTGCCTCTGTGTAGCCCTTTCCTATCAGACTGTAGAAAGAGCACTGGACTGGCAGTCAGCGGAGCGGGATTTGCCACTTGCCACGGGAGCTACCACTTTTACCAGCTATATGACATTTACCTCTCTGCACTTCAGCTCATCCACAAGTACAATGGACAAAATACTTTCTTCTCTCAAGTTTGTAGTAGCATAATATCACAGTTCTTCAGTGTGAAAGGAGATCCAGGGGCTCCAAATAAGCAGCTGGTTAGTAGCAGAGGGAGCCTAGGTCTCCTGGTGTCTTCATGCTTCTTCCCCCCACAGCCTGGATTCTCTTCTTGGTGATAAGGTTGTCACATACACATATAGGGACAGCTATAGAAATTCCCAAAGGAGTTTCTTTCTGGTGTCTATTGACATCACAGGCTTCTGAAATGGCTGCAGCTGGGGTTCATGGGCCAATTGGAGGGGGACAAAGCCAGTATAAATCCATGGCATTTGGGTTAGCTTGAGGCTCAGACCACAATTAGTGAAGAGTCTTCTCTTGAAGGAAGGTTCTCAAAATATTTTTCACCTTTTAGGAGTCATGGTTCATCTTTAACAATCAGTTCTCAGAATTACTGGGTTATTTGTCTGAAAGGAACATGTTGAAAGTCTTTAATCATTATCACCATCTAGAAACTTTACCCTTGGTTCTTCTCTCAAACTCCTCATCCAATCAATGATTAATAAGTTAGCATCTCTGTGCAGAGCATTTGAAATAATGGTGTTTTTTTAACTACCAAAAATAGGGAATATTTGAGTATCTTCTATTTCTCTTGATTTTATAGTAATACAGAAAAGTTTAGTTTGTCAGTAGCTGTAATTAGAATCTCAAAGACACATCTGTGACCCCACTCAATAAAACATACGAGGATGAGGATAGTCTATGAAGAAGATGGCATACATTTGATGGAGTATGTTGTAGGGCACAGTTTCTCAGGAAACAAATCCAGATTGTGTCTTTTTTAAAAAATTCTTTATTATTTAATGTATTACATAACTCTCCTTTTACCCCCATTGACTTCTCCCTGGCTGCTCTCACCTCCCAGCACATGCCTTCACCCCCCTACTGTCTGTGTCAATTGGTTATGTTCATATGCATGCATACAAGTCCTTTGGTTGATCTCTTACCCTCCCCCCTTCCCCTACTTTCCCTCTTCAGTTGGATAGTCTGTTCATTGCATCTATGCCTCTGGCTCTATTTTTGCTCAACAGTTTATGTTGTTCATTATATTCCACAAATGAGTGAGATCATGTGATATTTATCTGTCTCCGACTGGCTTATTTCACTTAGCATGATGCTCTCCAGGTCCATCCATGCCAGTAGTTCTCAACCTGTGGGTCGTGACCCCTGAAAATACATCCTGCATATCAGATATTTACATTACGATTCATAACAGTAGCAAAATTACAGTTGTGAAGTGGCAACAAAAATAATTTTATGTTTGGGGGTCACCACAACATGAGGAACTGTAGTAAAGGGTCGTGGCATTAGGAAGGCTGAGAACCACTGATCCATGCTGTTTCAAATGGTAAGAGTTCCTTCTTTTTTACAGCAGCGTAGTATTCCATTGTGTAGATGTACCACAGGTTTTTAATCCACTCATCTGCCAATGGGCACTTAGGTTTTTCCAAATCTTAGCTATTGTAAATTGTGCTGCTATGAACATAGGGGTGCATATATTCTTTCTGATTGGTGTTTGTGATTACTTGGTATATATTCCTAGAAGTGGGATTACTGGGTCAAATGGGAGTTCCATTTTTAATTTTTTAAGGAAACTCCATACTGTTTTCCACAGTGGTTGCACCAGTCTGCATTCCCACCAGCAATGCATGAGGGTTCCTATTTGTCCACATCCTCAGCAGCACTTGTCATTGGTTCATTTGTTGATGATAGCCATTCTGACAGGTGTGAGATGATACTTCGTTGTTGTTTTGATTTGCATCTCTCAGATTATTAGTGACTTTGAGCATGTTTTCATATGTCTCTTGGCCTTCTGCATATCCTCTTTTTAAAAGTGTCTATTTAGGTCCTTTTCCCATTTTTTAATTGGATTGTTCATCTTCCTTTTGTTAAATTGTATGAGTTACCTATAAATTTTGGAGATTAAACCCTATTGGAGATAACATTGGCGAATATGTTCTCCTATGCAGTGGGCTTTCTTGTTGTTTTTATGGTTTATTTTGCTGTGCAGAAGCTTTTTATTTTGATGCAGTCCCATTTGCTTATTTTCTCCTTAGTTTCCATTGCCCTAGGAGCTATATTGGTAAGATACTGCTATGACAGCTGTCTGCTATTTTGCTGCTTACGGCTACTATGATTTTTATGGTTTCCCATCTTATGTTTAAGTCCTTTATCCATTTTGAGTTTATTTTTGTGTATGGTGTAAGGTGGTGTTCTGGTTTCATTTTTTTTTCATGTATCTGTCCAATTTTCCCAACACCATTTATTGAAGACTGTCTTGACTCCATTGTATGTTTTTGCCTCCTTTGTCAGATATTAATTGAGCATAATGACTTGGATTGATTTCTGAATTCTCTGTTCTTTTCCATTGGTCTATATGTCTGTTCCTGTGCCTGTGCCTGTGCCAGGCCATTTTGATAACAGTGGCTTTGTAATATAGTTTAATATCTGATACTGTGACCCTCCAACTTTGTTCTCCTTTCTCAGGGTTGCTGCAGCTATTCAGGGTCTTTTTTTTTTATCCCATATGAATTTTTGGAGAGTTTGTTCTAGGACTGTGAAATATGCAGTTGGTATTTTAATAGGGGTTTAATTGAATCTATAGATTGCTTTGGGTAGTTTGGACATTTTAATGATGTTGATTCTACCAATCCATGAACACGGTATATTCTTCCATTTGTTTATGTTTTCCTCTATCTCTTTTTTCAACATCCTGTAGTTTTCCAAGTATAGGTCTTTTCCGTCCTTAGTTAAGTTTATTCCTAGGTATCTAAATTTTTTGTTACAATGGTAAATGGGATTTTTTTTTTTTTTAGTTTCTCTTTCTATGAGTTCATTATTGGTGTATTAAAAAAGCCATAGATTTCTGGGTGTTAATTTTGTATCCTGCTACATTGCCAAATTCATGTTTTTATGGCATCTTTAGGGTTTTCTATGTACAATATCATGTCATCTGCAAATAATGACAGTTTTACTTCTTTTCCAATTTGGATGCCTTTTATTTCTTTTTCTTGTCTGATTGTTATGGCTAGCATTTCCAGTACTGTGTCAAACAGGAGTGGTGAAAGTGGGCATCCCTGTCTTGTTAGTGTTCTTAGGGGAAATGGTTTTAGTTTTTGCCCATTGAGTATGATGTTGGCTGTAGGTCTGTCATATAAGGCTCTTATTATGTTGAGGTATGATCCCTTTATTCCCACTTTGCTGAGAATTTTTATCAAGAAAGGGTGTTGGATTTTTTCAAATGCTTTTTCTGCATCAATTGATATAATTATGTGATTTTTGTCTCTCAATTTGTTTATATGATGTATGTTTGTTGATTTGTGGATATTGTACCAGCCTTGCGTCCCCGGAATAAATCCCACTTGGTCATGGTGTATGATTTTTCTAATGTAATACTGGATCCAATTTGCTAGAATTTTGTTTAGGATTTTAATATCTGTGTTCATCAGGGATATTGGCCTATAATTTTCTTTCTTTGTAGTGTCCTTATCTGGTTTGGGGATTAGGGTAATGCTGGCTTCATAGAAAGAGCTTGGAAGTGTGACTTCCTCAAGAATTTTTTGGAGTAGTCTGAGAAGGATAGGTTTTAGTTCTTTTATGTTTGATAAAACTCCCATGTGAAGCCATCCTGTCCAGGGCTTTTGTTTACTGGAGGTTTTTTGATTACTGCTTCAATTTCCTCAGTAGTTATTGTCCTACTCAGGTTTTTTATTCTTCCTGTTGAGTTTTGGAAGATTTTATTTTTCTAGGAAAATGTCCATTTTGTCTTGGTTGTCCAGTTTGTTGGAGTAGAGTTGTTAGTAATATTTTTTTTATAATCTTTTGTGTGTCTGTGGGGTTGGTTGTTACTTCAACTCTTTCATTTCTGATTTTGTTTATTTGGGTCCTCTCTCTTTGTTTCTTCATGAGCCTGGCTAGAGGTTCATCAATCTCATTTATTCTTTACAAGAACCAGCTCTTGGTTTTATTGATCTTTTGTGTTATTGTTGTTGGGTTTTTTTTGTTTGTTTGTTTGTTTGTTTTTGTCTCTATGTCATTTATTTCCACTCTGATCTTTATTATTTCCTTCTTTCTGCTTACTCTGGGCTTTTCTTGTTGCTTTCTTCCTAGTTCTTTAAGTTGTAGGGTTAAATAATTTATGACCATTTTTTCTTGTTTTCTGATAGACCTGTAATGCTATGAACTTTCCTCTCAG